CATTTGAATATATCTCCTTCTTTATTTTTGTGATTCTAAACAACAGAAGCATTGAGATTAGAACTTAATCATGGAGACAGTCCAATACTTTGTTCTAGCTGAAGCTTTTATCTCTTGCAGGGCATTGTTTTACACAAACTTGGGGATAACAGACTGGCGGAGAAAGTTTTACGAGATGCAGTCAACCTTGACCCGTGTTTTCACAAAGCTTGGTTTGTGTTTTGGATTTATTATTGTAATACTATGAAAATAACTAAATAGTATTCAATTTAAATTGAAATTGGGTACCTGATATTAGTGGGAAAAGTAAAGGCGGGTTGTTGTTGCGCTGGCCACATGACACCCTCATAAAACCTGGGCCACAGAAACAGATAACCTTTACATCCTCTGCCCTGTAGATCGTAAGGTCTGAAAGGGGAACTTACTTTACTGTTGGCATAACAACAGAATGACAATTACTTATTCACAGGACAATATACTGACAGTATATCTGTTTTGAGGGAACATCTATAGGTTGAAAGAAATGCTTTGTTTTAAAACCCAGAATTGGTGCTTCAGGGATCTCTTTAACTGCTTGGCACAGTCTGCAAAAGAGCTGACAGCTTAGCAGCTAAAAGCTGGCTAGAAGAAGAAGAACTGCTTTAAAAAAATCTTACATAGCTTCAGCCACCAGGCTTCGAAATAATAATATACAAATTGTATAACCTGTACAAGTTGTGTTCACAGTTACATTGTTTTTTGTTTTCATATAGATATCTTGTAGTACCATCACAACAAAGAAAAGGAACTGTTTCAAATGACATTCTTGAATGTGTCATGGGCTTAATGATTAGTAAAGAAACTGGAAGGGATAATTGCTTTATTTTATGTCCCTTTGATTTCAGATGCTTAATTTATTGAGATTTTTTTTTTTATTTGAATTGATTAGGTTTGTTCTTGGAATTGTATTAGAGGCTACTGACCACCCTGAAGATGCTAGCCATTGTCACATGATGGGGACCAGCTTGGAGGCAACTTGTCCAGTGGCACCATTCAATGTCATTCAGAGGGTCATGACCTAATACTTATGGACCTAATGCTTCGACCTCTGCAATGCACCGGTGAACTATACTGAAATCATGATGTGCATGGGAAAATTAGACAGTCATTTTCAACATTCCAGACACCAATCTAACAATGTGCTAATATTTCATCCACAAAGTTTGTAACACTGTAACAAACTCAATGTTACATGTGTATATTTGGCCATATGTAAATAGTTTTATAAAAGTTATTCTAAGTATTAGGTCATGCCTAATTACTACATTCTAGTAGTAAGACATTAGTTGTTTGGTTTATAGTCCGCTTTTTAAAAATATTGTTTTTTAATTACCTTGTAAAAATTTAAAGCAGAAAAAAAAAATTGTCTTAATTTTTCTTTCTTTTTAAAGTTGATATAATCTATATAATTTGTCTCTTAATCAAAGTAATTAAAATAATACTAGCATGAACTGCAAACTGCATATGCTCTCCATTGATCAGAGAACTGTTCATTGTGTTTTACTATACTGTAGAATAGCAAGACAGAAGTTGTTTTTTAAACACAGTCTGTACTGGGAGTCTACTTTTCCTCTTAGTTAGCTATGTTACAGTTTCATGTTTAAAATTAGCTGCTAACTAATTACAACTTGAATTGTGTGCGCCACACTTTCCTGTTTTAAGTCACACATTCCCGACCACAGTTATACTGTGATGAACAGATATATAGACTATGAGTACATTATTATTATTATTATAGCTTTTATATAGCGCTATTTTCATGCTTATAGCATGCTCAGAGCGCTTTTGGTCCAATCTCATTTGTGGACCAGTGGGGGGAGGGGGTATCTAGGAGTTGGTTTTCAGTGCTGCCTTTAGGCGCTCAGTAAACACAACTCTGCCCATTTCTGGTAGACTAAAAATGTTGATTTGTCATGTTACCAGGTTTGATAATGTAATGTTGTTAACCCTTGGTCATCATTTTTAGAAATTTTCTTGACATTCTGAAATACTGCAGTGGGAAAGGTGGGGCTTAAAGTCACAATTTGGTAGTTCTGATGGATAGCACAGATTCTTAACAAACTTACTACACTGCAACACAAACTTTCAAACAAGAAGTAGAACAAATGTAAAAGACTTCATTTCTTAATTTTTCTGAGATACAATAAAAAAGGTGGTTGGATTGAGGCTGTGACGTGAAAGCTTTTTAATATCTTTGATGAAAAAAAAAGTTCTACAATTTGAATTTGAACACTAGGACTCAAGCCAATGCACTCACCACTGTTATGACTATTTATGCCAAATAAAATAGTTTGACAAATGTTCAAGTATTTACTTAACACAGTTTTTAAATAAAATTGAAGTGCACTTTTCAAACAATGGAAAACAATGCAACTTGATAGGTGGGGAACAGAAAGTGGTAGTAACTTCTTTTAAATACTATTTCTGACTGTCACCAAACATCTCGACTTGTGGTTTGACATTTTGGATTGTTCATGACCTGTGACTGTAAGTTCTACTTTTCCCTACACGTAATGTTTGTATCTTAATAGATAATGATTGCAGTGTTCTATTATGTCTTAATAGATGGATAATGATGGCAGTGTTCTATTATGTCTTAATAGATAGATAATGATTGCAGTGTTCTATTATGTCTTAATAGATAGAAAATGATTGCAGTGTTATATAATACATAATATAAAATATTTATAAGTTTACCTTATATATATTCAATTTTTTTAAAACTCTTGATATTAGGTAAAAAAAATTAAAGGGCCCCTCGCCTGTTTTAAGCTATATGACTTTTTCTTTTGGTTTAATGACATCAGCCCAGACTTTGTACAGTCACTAATTGGCTGTACTCTTTGTTTTTATAGTGTTATTGAACAAATGTACTTGCTTTTGTTTATTCTGTATTTTTCCTAATGTCACTTCAAAAAAGAAAATGTCATATTAGTATATTTGTGCATTTTGTATTTATTCTCTGATAGTCTTAACTTGATTGCAATAGTTACCACTGTGATATCATTAATTTATGCACTGACTTGTTGATGTATTGTAATGTTGTGTGTTTGAATTCTTGTTTTGTTTCCTGGGTATTTCTTTATGTTTCAGATACTCAATGAGGAAAATTGGTTTTAGACAGAAAGCCTTTAAAACAATTTGAAAATAAATCTTTCGAACTCAGATTAGTTTCATTTATGTTAGTATCAAATCTTTGAAATGTGTTCTTTGGGATGCCTTTTAGCTAGGATTCTTTAAAACAAACTTGTCTAAACTGTCTCTACATTAAGTGCAATGTTACATTCCATCTTTGAAACCAACAGATGGAATGAATTGATCAAACACTCTGACTTCATCAACTCATCTCTCCCAGTCTGTGGCACCACAAACACTTTGACTTCATCAACTCATCTCTCCCAGTCTGTGGCACCACAAACACTTTGACTTCATCAACTCATCTCTCCAAGTCTGTGGCACCAAGTTCCTTCTGGTGTCTAAGTTATTGACAAGAAGTCTCTTTCAACAGGAACTCTTTTATATTGAAGATTAATTTCAACTTACTAGTATGAAGATTTCAACAAAAAAAAGTTTACTGTATGCATACTATAAAAAAAAAACAACCTGTTTTGTCTAACTTTTTCTGCAATGGGACATATTGACTTACTCTGTTGATCCCTGGAGGGTATGCCACAACTAAATCTTCAATGGACTGTTTCATGAAACTTTTCTTCCCTAAGGCCAATGTCATCTTCATGCTTACCTCTTCCAAGTTTTTTACTCTCTGCTTACTTCTTTTTCTGACCTTAGGGACACCAATCCAGTGCCTGCTTTGACCTGGCTTTAACAGTTCACTAGTTTGAAACACTCATGAACCGAACTAGATGTTTATGTATTTACTATGTAAAGTATAGCATTCGTATTCATAAAATCATCTACTGGGATGTGGGTCAAATCTATTTTTTTATCTACAAGTCTTGCAGTTGCAATATTTGTTCCTGTGTCACTAGATAAGAAACAACTCAGTGTTTTTTCTTCCTGTCTACTCTTTGAGAAAAAAAATATGACTTTACATTAGACCGGGATTACTTCATCCTGACACCAAATAGTGAGTTCCTACTTCCTGTTGTTCAGTTAGTAATGTTGGATTGTCCTGAGGTTTATATAGAGAGCAAAAGAAGAACTCCAACATTATAAAAAGGTTATGACTTATGGGTATAATAACTAATGTAATTACATATGATTGCTTTGTTAACAAATTAATATATTGATAATAAAAATAACATGCTATATATATATATACTTATTTCTTGTGTGAATCACCTGGCTTGATTCTTTTCATAATTTAGTACTCAGTTGTAACATGTAACAATTTGTAGCATGCTGTGTTGGTCACTAACTTCCTAAGGTATTGCACCCTTGACATTTGGTGCTCCTTCGTGTCCAACAGAACATTCTTTTTAGATATTAAGATACAAAATATATTACTTCTAAAAAACTCATGTAATGTGAAAAGTTTGAATGTTTGCTGGTTAAATGTAAAGTTTTGATCGACGTTTTTTTTAAATGAAGCTTTAATGTAAGTGTCTATTACTGTGAATCCAACATAAGGAATTTCCTTACATTTTAAAGGCATCTGTTTTGTTTTGCGTCTTATTGTTTACAAATGTTCATTTTCTGTGAGATCAAATTTTCTTCATATTGTTCTGTCATACCTTGCATCTACAGGCTTGATATTTACTGGATGTCATAAGGTTGTTCTGTTGTTTTTAGAATACATGAGGGTATCTGCTAGTGTGTGACCTTTTAAAAGCTGTGATAACTTGTTCCATCTGCATCACATAATGTTGTAATGTACTGTTCTTTTTGCTGCTAGGAAGATGTGATCATAGTCAAACACTTTCAGTATTTATAAGCCATCCAAATTTGATGTGTGTGTATGGAATTTTATTTTTTTGTTAGGGTTTGAATGGATAATGCGAAAAAGGGGGGGGGGGGGGGCTTTCTACTTGAAATCCTGGTGACTGAATTTTTAAACAAACTTTAACTGTAAGGCAAAAGAAAAGGCAGTGGTTTGTTTTACTGGTCACATTACACACTTGTTCACTACTGACCACAGGAAAAGAAGTTAAGCTGGACTCCCCTGTAGACCTTTGTTGCTATGTATTGAAGTAAAGATTTATGCTTCAAAAATTATTCAAACTTCAAAAAAAATTTTTTTTTTTTTAATTTTTTTTTTTTAAATACTTTGTTGCAATCCAAACTTAAGTAGCTGTTAGACATTGGTGGTGAGCTGTAAATATTTATGAATGTTTGGTAAGGCTAGTACAATGACTGTCACATTCTCTAACTGGTAAGTAGATTAGTTAGCAGGCAGAGTGGTATGTCTCAGTAACATCAAGGCTTAAAACTTGTTAAAAATTTGAAGCTAGAAATTTAACTGACCGAGTGGTGTGTGTCCGTGACATCACGTCTTTATTTTTAGTTCAGAATGTGAACCTAGACATTCAAGTGGCTGAATGCTTGACCACACCGCAACTACTTTCCTTGCGCTGTAATATTCATTTCAGTTTCTTATGCTCTAAGGGTGTTACCATGGTTATTCAGTGCATCCTTGATACTGTGTGTAGGCACTTTTAATCATTAGGCTAGCTAGTTAATCTTGAAACTGTCTTCCATTATCTACCCAACCTGAGCTCAGCATTCATTTTTTTCCAGTTGGGCTTTGTGTCACACTCTTGATTGAATGTTCTTACACACACACACACACTATTGCCTCATGCTCCGTGTTATTGTACTAAGTAGTGTACAAATCTTATATACAATATTGAAATTAATATTTATAATCTGATTGTTCTTGAGTGAAATTGAAGGTTCTCATGTGTTTGATGATAAAAAAAAAATTATATAGATTGTATAAAAATAAAAGAAACCAAAAACAATTTTCAAGTGTCTCTTTTATTTTGTTATTAATGTTAAACAATTTAGCAATAAATATTGATAAAATTTTGTTTACAAATTTCTTGCTTTAAAAAAAATAAATTTTTCAACATAAAATAATAGCGTGTGTCATAGAAAAGATTTATAATGTTTGAACCCCTTCCCCCCCCCCCCCCCCCCCCCCAAAGCATTCACCAATCATACAATTTTACATAATAAAAAACATTTCTCAACATTTTCTGAAAGTTTAGGAAAACTTTGCAGTTAATGACCCACCCATTGCTTGGTTTTTGTAGTGCTGATAATGTTAGTTCTTATTTCTTTATGCTTGTCAATATTAACCTGTGCTTTTGATAATGAAAGTTTGTAGATGAAAAGTGAATGGGCACAATGCAGGTCCTTTCAACTTTGCATCCAACCAATTGTAATCTTAAGTCCGAATGAAAGATTGAAAAAATTAGTTAATAAACTAAAAGTACACCAAGAATAAAGTGTGGGTTTTTCTGGGTTTCTGTACAAATAGTGTGTAAGTGAAGGTCATTAATCAATCTAAAACACATTTTTAACATATCAGACTAAAGATAGTTTGAAAACCGATTTCATAATTAATTTAAAAGCTTATTACAATGTTACCACATATAGTTAAATTGGAGGTGAAAATTAGCTTAGTTTTAATAAACCCCCATATATTTTAGATTCAAAAAGAGAATCTAAATCAACCATTGGCAAAGAAGGAGGCCATGTATTTTAATTATGAATAATAGTAAAATGGAAAACTATAATACTGAGTTTTGACTTTAAAACAATGCAGTATACATGTCTCCATATGCCATCTAAACAGCTGACTTAGTAGATTAAATGTTAATTTTAAATGCATAAGATTTATTTGAAATTTCGTTTTTTGTTTTCAATTTTAAAGCTTGACAGCTATAAATACCACGCAATACTTGTATGTAATGTAAAGTTTAAAATCAACACCAGGGGCAAGAACTCTGAAAGACAAACATGAAATTGAAAAAGTTATTACAAGTAATGATTCTTTGTGTTTTTTTTAAATTACTTTTGTATAGCAAGACTTGCATGGTCAGTGCACTCTGGTCTAATCTCTTTTGTGGACTTGTGGGGAGAGGGGCTATCTGGGAGAGTTAACATTCTGCCTTTAGGCACTAAGCAAACACAGCTCAGCTGGAGTTGGGATTTGAACCCGAGCCCCCCTTGATAGACAGCCAAGCAGTTTTTACCACTCAGCCACCCAACCCATGTTGACTGTTAATATTCTTTTCTCTAAGAAAGATTGCAGCTAAAAAGTATATCTTTTAAAGCTACTATATATTTTTAAGTTACTACTCATTGATTGATCAAGATGTCTCTTAAACTATCAAATGGATTCGCATGAAATTTGATTCACAGGTTCCTTTTACCTCTTAGGCACTCACTAATAAATGGTTTTGACAGATTATCTTCTTATCTTATAAAATACAGACGTTACTTCAAAAAAGAAGATGATTACACCCTACACGTGTCCTTAGATCAATCTAGTCATGCATTTTAATCAATGACTTAAACTCCGTCAAGTTGATGATTTTAAAGCAGCCGGACCAACAAAATTTGCGAAAAACTGCAAGCTTTCTATCAAACTTTTGTATTTCTTAACTTAATATTTGCAGCGCCCATTGGAAGTTTATTAAGCAGAAAACTGTGGTTTCACATCAGAGAAGAGCCCACTAATATACAATACTATTTACATTTTCAACAGTGAAACAAAACAAAGACTATGTAAAACAATACAGATTTAAATATACTGGAGAAAAAATCTAATTATCATAATAACCTTTTAAAAACAATCAATGCTTTCTAAAACAAAAACAAAAAACACAATAACATGAAATATAGTGACAGCAATTAGGTGTGGGTTGATTCTAGACATTTCAAAACATTATTTGGATAATTCAAATTATTTATTTAAGGCATCTATATATTAATCAAACTACAAGATCTACCTCTGCTTATCAATATCTGTAACTAATTAGCACATTAAAAAAAACAAGACCTATAAACAACAAACTTACAAAAATAGATTTCAATCGTATAAACTCAAAATTATTACTGCAAACAATATCATTATTGACTTTTCATTGTCATTTGGCAGCCACTTTGATTTTAATCATTTTTAGCGGCCCCCGTAAGGGGAAAAAGCCGCTATTAGGTTTGTGCAAAATGTCCGTCTGTCCGTCACACTCAGATCTCAAAAACTAGAAGAGATATGAAAAATATTATTTCATCATTAAATGCGGCTTAAAAAGTTTAGGTGCAACGGCTACTTTTGGTTTTCTAAAAGCAAACCGTTTAATTTATAAAATTAATTATGCAAGCAATTTTTTCAAAAAAATACACCAATTCTAAATCAATTACGTAAATGTAAGGGAGGCAATGTTACAATATGCTAACAAAGAAGGACAATTTTTTATGTATTTTCAGTATCACTAAGTAAAATATATTTATAAAAATATAAAGATGTTTTTTCTAGTCAACTAGCTGTTAAAATTAAAAGAAAACTTTTTGTTTATAAAGGCTAATAATACTTTTTGTATGTAAATATCATGCACATTTTTTAAAATGGACTTTTTATGCAGCGACTTTCGTGCAGTAGCATAACGTCGCAACATGACGAGTTGCTAAACCAATTCCTTAAACTTTTTTAAAAAATTAGATTTTATTTATTTGTTTGTTTAGTGCCCCCATCCGAATAAAAGAAGATTATTTTTGTGCATTTTGTCTGTTGGTCAGTCTGTCCATCATGATTAGATTAACAAATAACACTAGAGGCTCTTCTAACTTTCAGATTTTATTTCCATGCTTAAACATTGCAAGAAACACATGATCTTTAATATATTGTTCCGGTTTTTTAATGTAAATAGCATATAAATGCTAAATAAAAATATCGATATTGATTTATATTTCATTAACTATAAATTTGTTCCGGATATTGTTTTATAAAAAATAAATTATGTCAAATGATTGTTTGAAATCGCATAATTGACTAATATTACATTTATATTCTTTGACACTACGTCACTATAGTTTATTTATTAATATCAATTGTTCCGAATTTTTAACTTAAAACAAATTTATGTCAAATAGTTTTGTTTTTTTTCAAAAATATTGACAATAGGTTATTCAGGATTTTAAAATAAGAAAGTAATTTACTAGAAACGATGATTGAAAATCAATTTTTAGACTTATTTTACAGTTAATTTTCTTGCCGAAACATAATAAAAGTTGTTTAATCGGTAAAGAATGTTCCGGATTTTGTTTCGAAAATGAAATCGACCTACATTACCTTAATTTTCTTACAAATCGTCGCCAATACTGATCCGAATATTATATGAATATTATATGAAAAATCTAATAACGCTAATAAATGTTTGAAATCCCTCTTCTAATAAATAAAACACATAATTTTCTCATTTACGAAAATTGGTTGTTCCGGATTTTTTATGAAAAATAGTTTAACTCTATTTATGTAAAATCGCACTTCACTCTTACACTACATTTAACTTTCTAGCTAAAACGTTAGAATATCTAATTATCGTCAATATTATGCTCCGATTTTTAAGGAAAACAACTTCCTAACACCAAAGTATGGTTTGAAAAAATCTCCATAAGGCTATGGTACATCTAATTTTCATAACAGACCATCCCACAAATTTAATTTACGGCATTTGATTAATCTGGAATTCTTATTTTCTCTCACTATAAATATATAAACATCCGGAACAATCTATTATAGAAACTTAAAACTAATGCGATGTTTTGGAAGGGAAATTAGATTTTAATCAGATTTTCAATAGCTTTTAGTCTTTTTTTTTCTCGCAATTAACATGACGGACAGACAGACAAAACAAAAAAAAAGCATCTTTAATCCTTATATATATATATATATATATATTAAGTCTAACTAGCCCATGAAATGAAATGCTAAAAGAACAAACTCGGTGCACCAATGTCTATGATCCCTCGAGAAGCTGCTCGTATAGATGACATTTTTTAGTCTAACTAGGACGTGTGACGTAATGGATTTTTTTTCCTTTGACGTCATATGGAGTTAATTCTTTAATTGAAATGCTAAAAGATCTGACTCGGTGCACCAATGTCTATGAACCCTCAACAAGCTGCTCGTATAGATGATATTTTTTAGTCTAACTGGGTTAAATGACGTAGTGGATTTTTTTCCTTTGACGTCATATGGAATAAATTCTTTAAATGCTAAAACAACTCGATATAGTAATGTTTATTAAACCTCGTAATGTGACTCGCATTTTAAAAAGACAATAGCTAGATTTAGATCTAATCTAGATTTTTTACACTAGATCTAGATTTTTTTTTACACTAGAGCTAGATTTTTAAAACTAGATCTAGATTTAAGTTCTAATTAAAATCATTATAGAATCTAGAATTTCTTAGTCTAGTTTAGAATGTTTGTTGTTTTACATGTTTCGGATATTCCTTCAGAGTTGTAGTCCAAACCTCCCGTAGGACGACGGGGGATGGGAGCGGGCAGGGTTTGAACTTGGGACCATCGATGAATCCAAACAACAGTCCAGCGAGCAAACCGCACTACCAGACAGCCATGATTTAGACTAGATCAAGATCTATAATTTTAATTGCTAGGCTTAAAGTGTAGATTTTAATTTCTAAAGTCTAGATTGTCAATATTGCAATGTTATAAAATACTAAAGCTAATCTACTATTTTAATATTTCATATTGCAATTTGTCTATTAATTGATTATCTAGTGTTTTTTTTTAATATAAATCTTATCTAAATTACATCTACATTATCCCAAATACATATTTTAGATCTAGATCTAGTAGATATAGAGTGCTAAATTAGTAGTTTAATTTAGGTAGATCTACATGCTCATTCTAGTTTCATTTAAATGAAAATGCTCTACCAAAAGATTATCTAAAATTTCTCTTCTGACATGTTGTACATATCCGGTAG